TCGTGTGCACTTTCTGACAGAAACATCAGTTATAGTTGATTAGCCCATATAATTTGGATTATATGGAAATTATTTGTCTAATATTCACAGTTCTGTCCAAACCCCTGTGTACACCATGACAAGAAGAGACATAAAGAGCAAAAAATGCAAAGCAGATCAACCATATTGAGAAATATATTAGTAAAGAACAAACAGGATAGGAAAAAACAAAACTCTAATAGAGCATAAATATGTATTCCATATATACACACATGAAGAAACAGAGGTTATGCTTTGCAGGCATCATGAGATTTTGGTTTTCTATCTGTTGCAGAACTGATTCATTTTAAGGAAGGAGGAAAAATGATTGCTTGATTAGTGATTAGCTCTTGCCAACTTTTGTGTTTTCTGGAGTAGCCGCTGTCACTATTAGTGATATAACAGCTCCTTGAGTAAAGGTAGGAGGACAAAATGAGATAACCAAGATAACAAGATAGGAATAAAGCATCAGTGAGAAGGAAGGAAGGAAGAAGTGCCAAAAGGGATGAGACACAATCTTTTAAGTTCAATGGATGGGGCACAGTAGCTCCAGCTATTTGGTTAGTGAGGTCCTTCCCCGCAGCTTCCAGCAGCAGAATGTATGGGAGAAAATGCACAATGCAAAGCACTTCCCTAACTCCAATCTCGAGGGCTGAGCTGACAATAGGAGGATATACCTGGGCCAGAGGTTGGGGAGGTGGATGTTGCTTCAAGATGATTGTTGTGGAAATCAAGAAGAGACCTTCTGGGGCACAGAGATCCCTGCAGGGTGCCTGCCAGTGACAGACTATGTTAGTGCTCAGCCCTGTTGAGTGAAACAAAAAAAAAAAGCTACTATAAATAAGGAAATTTCACTAGTAAGGAGTTGTCTTGTGTCACTTCACTCTGAAGACAACAGTCCCATCAGAGTCAGAACAGTGTTAACCAGTCAGGCTGGTGAGGCAAAATCATGTGGGTTGATTCTTTCATAGCTGACAAAAGCATTTAGAAAAAAATTCACAATAATTCAAAACATTTCTTAAATGTCAACAGTGTTTTAAACCTGCCTGTATAGGAAGAGACAAATATACCTTATTTATGGCAAGCTCTTATTCAAGATGTTCTTTTGAGACTGGAGAGAGCTTTCATTTAACTTTTCTCTCAGGAGACTTTCCATGGTCCTTTTTCTGGGCTCCAAGGTGAGAAAGAGAGGAAGCTCCCAAATGTGTGTCTTGGCAGTCTGGGAACAAAAAAAAGCCACAGTCTTGGATTCAGAGGCTTAAGAAAGTAAAATATGAGCATCCTAACAATTAAATTTTTTTATCTAAAGTGAAGTACTAAACCATTTGGCATTCCTCATCATTAATACTGCCACCTTTGTCAGTTTGCTTGTAAGTGTCAGAGCAACTTTAAGAGCTTTCTTTTAAGGAGAAAAATCTCAAATGCCTTTTGTCACTTCCTGTATAGAGTCTTGTGAAACAAAAACTTCTGCCTCACTCATCCACATTTACTATATATGCTTTATTTTTATACTGACCCCAAAAAGCACAGGCAGGCTGAACTACTTTCTCACTACAGAAGCACAATGTGCATCACAGGATTTCATAGGAAACCTAAGAGCTTTTCCTGGTTTTACTACATTGTCTTTATTCTCAGCCAAAGACCAAAACGAGCTACATCATCAGTTACTTACCATTTACTTACTCTCAAACCTCACCCTGTTTCCAGTATTAAAAGAACAAAGGTGTCACAAGTCATGTGCATGTCATGCTCATGAAAAATTTGTTGGAATACCTGAAACACAAATTTCTATTTGTGTTGGAAGTCCATATGTATTTACAGGGGAGTTTAAGTCATATTGACTCTGCTTAGTGCAAGGCAAATTGCATAAGATTCTCATTATCTGGAGCACTAAACCAGTACGTTGATGTAAAGCAACAAACCCTCTTCACCAGTGAAGACTACAAGGCAGCAAGAAGAGGTTGTCCCAAAAAAGGTGTAAGAGTTTTGTTCCCTTAATCTCTCTGCCATACCTGGAGTTGAAAATATCCATGAACTGTGTTTCAATGTTCAGTTATAAACAGAGTGTGCAGAACTATGGGGCATGAATTACGTAAATCACAAGATCCATCAGGCATAGCTAGAAAAGATATTTTTCTTCTTACCAGATAGAATTGTGTTATTTGTGAGTGCCATCTTTTGGATGCTTCAGCTTCTTTGCAAAGGTGATGCAGAGCAAATGTGCTGTCATTCATAGAAATTGATTATGCCTTTGCAATACTTATCTTGGAAATAATGAAAGAAAGAATTAACACACTTCTGTGTAAGATGTAAGCAAGAAAATATCCTTTATTTTTCCACAACCCTTGCATTCTTTTGTCCCTTGATGGTTTCCAGCCTGTGTGGATAGCTGAAACATCCCTTGTGTCAGGTCTTAGAAGCATAAGTACTATTATTAATGGACATGAAGCAGCAGTGGTACCACTTTTCACTTTCCTTTCTGTCTCAGCAACGAGTCCCCATGGGCACTCTTATTCCTGTATGCAGGAGTATGAGAAGTGGGAAGATATCCAGGTTTTTTTGACCTAATATCATTCTCCATTGACCACCTAGCTGACAATAACGGTCAGCCTGGATCATGTTAGCTGATATTATGAAGCAGGAGTTGTATACCATTGAACGCTGTGCTGACAAATATTTCCTTGCCATCTATTCCTACAGAGTCCATCCCTACCACATAGTTGAACAAATACAGTTTTCAACTCTCTGTTAGACTGGACAGTCACAATGTGCCATTGTTGTTTTCAAAAGCAACAGACCCTCACAGTATCCAATATTGCTCTTCCAAACATTTGAGAAATTGACATGAAAATGTAAGTAATGTACTGACAGATCTGTATCTTATGTAGAATCTGTAATAAGTTGCCACCTGAAATTTATTTTTATTTATCAAAATGCTAATAATTTAGACCATTTTCTGGAATAGGTCTCTTCTCAGGACAATGTTACCTATCTCCAATTAGTAATTGAGATTTTTACTACTTCAGTTACTAAAAGACATTTAGATGCAAAACCATAATCTATTAAGATTTGAAATGTTTCTTATATAAGGTTGGATAAAGGAGAAGGCACACTTTCCATAAATTGTGTGGTCTGACATATGCAAACCTTAGACAATTAGGAAGAATTTAAATGCTGCTTCTGTGCCATGGTGACTTGGGTAACATTTGCTTAGGATGACCAGCAGCATTATGAGTGGATACAAAATCATTAAAGATTTCTGTAAAGAGAAATGACTGACATTTTTTTAATGCTCATTTGCAAAGTAGTAAATGTACAGAAGCTGATAATTAAATTTAAGGGCATTTTCCAGCCATAATATTAGAAAGTGTAAGAGGTTGAACATTAACCTGACTGTAAATCCCTCCACTATGTCTTTCTACAAAAGATTGTCTACATTTTAACCATTTGGTGTTGTTCAGTGCTTCAAATGTTCAGTGTGATTGCATTGCATATCACAGACTGAAACAAAAAAGATCCACATGAACTAGTTAAAAATGTAGAAAAAGTTTAATTTTATTTTTTAATACATTTTTGTACACACACACACAAACTAACCACAAACAACTAATTTAGAAACTTCATGAAAGACATTCAGGACTTTGTATATGTGGAGGATGTTGCTGTCATGGATAGCATGACTAAAGCTTTAAAAAAAATTGAATTTAGAACTAAACTTCATTTGCACTAAGAAACAAGAGAAAATGTCATCTTAATGCTTTGCCTACAATCTGAAAGGGCATCACCAACCCTCAGAGATTTTTGTTATTTACTCTATTACTTGCTCTGCAGCAGGGAGCAGTATATGCTTTAGCATTTGCTTCTACTGAAAGTCCTAAATGAAAAACTCTGAGAGTCACTGTCTTGGACATCATTCCAGCTCGACCCAAGGAGCCTCCTTAGAGATGGCAAGTTACTTGCTTGCTCTTTGGCAAGCCCACTCTAAGATGAAAGGATCTGGATTGGGATCACACAGCTGTTTTCTTCCTCACTGTTTTCTTCCTCACTGCCAGTTTCTTTTTGTGGTTTTTGTAAAGTAAGAAGGGAAAAATAACCCACTGAGAAGCAGTTATACCAAAGCATCTTAAGCCTGTTATATCATGGACGGAAAAAAAGGGACAAGCAGACAATCTTTTTCTTTTTTTTTTTTTCTTTTTTCCCTCCAAACATTTCCTTTCAGATGTCCCTTTGAAGTCATAGGCTTATAGTGCGAGTGACTGAGAGCAAGGAACTGTGAAATGTGCCTTTGAGCCATAGATTTCTCAGAGAGTATCACAAGGCATATATGACTGGGGTACACAACATCTGCAAATCAGCGTGGTGTTATTGAGGCTTTGTTCAGCATCAAACTCTGAGAGCTGCAGAGGTCCATAAACTTCCACAGAGGAAAATCACCTCCCATCCTGATTCTACCTTCCCACTTGGGTTATCTCACTTACACTGTATGCAGTGACTATGTCAGACAACTATCAGCAACTATAATATAGTTTATTATATGTTTGTAAATTAGGTATAGTTACCATCTTCTATTCCACTTAACCCTGTTATTGCTCTGTTACTACTGGATACTTTCTCATTATTCAAAATATGCTGCCATGCCTGTGCCTTGGTAAGGTCATTCCTTCAAACTACCATCACAATACACCACTCTTCATACTTACTAAAAACAATTCCTTCTCAGATGGATCTGATTCACTTCATAATCAAACACAGACTGGCAGAATACTTCAGTCCTGATTAGTTATATCTCCTCATTCTTCACTCATGAGTCTTCTGTATTTCTCACCCAAAACAATTTTTATTGCTTCTCTTACTTAAAGGATATTGTATAAAAGATACTCTGTCCCATTGAAAATTCTCACACAGGGGTCAAAATTGTCTCTCATGATTTTGGAATTGTTAGTAATGACGTATCAGTTTCTTACAAACTTCAGAGAAAAGCTGTTGAAGGTTAGGACTATTTCAGTAGTTTTTCTGGTAGAGCAAATGATCAGCCTCACCCAAAATTCATCTCAAGTTGGAGGGCAGCACCATAGTGTGCCATTACAGCATCATTTCCTGCTAAACCCACTAGGAGGTTTGAGACTGCAGGAAATTTTTTTTGCCTTTCTGCTGTTTAAAGTGCTCAAAGAAATGGGAGCTGAGAGCTAACAGAAAAGGCAGTAACTGTTAGACCAGAAGATGAGAAAAACAACACAGGGTAACCTAAGGAAAATTATAGCCAGAAGAATGATCTGAACAGCAGAGAGCTGGTGAACAAGATGAGAAAGACCAAAGAGGCTGAAGGGTAACAGGTGTTGCACTAGGCAGCAAGGAAAAGCGAAAAGGGAATAAATGAATGAATGAGAAGAGTGATGTAGGTCTGTCCCAGACCTACAGGTCACAGATCAGGTCTTAAAACAAAGTTGCTTCAAAGATCTGAGAGAAGAGTGTCACTGTTAAGGAGAGGAGATGCTGAAGCAGCACTTAGTAATACAACCAAGAGCAGAGGATAAAGAGACAGCAAGACAAGTCACACCCCCGAGATGTGACTTCACGGAGAGCTGTGGCTGTTTCACAGTGCTGAGCTGTGCCTTTGCCAGTTTAGCTGAGGCAGCAGGGATGTGGCATGCTGGGCACCTCACTCCAAGGGTCCCCCGAGTTCAGTCACAGTTTCCCTTTGCTGTTTACTTTATGTAATTTCTTTCCATTGTACTTTTGAACATTTTACATTCCCAAGGGATGACAGGCAGAAATGTAGAAACCCTTTGATAAATGCTGGCTTTACCTGGAGATAAACATCTGAATCCCTCTCAGTTATCAGAACCTCATACCTTTTGGAGGTAGACCCTTCATGGAATTAATTGCTAATGGTCCCAGACCCAAGGTCATGGCTTTGCTGAAGAACTGAGCAAGAAAAGAATGATAGGAAAACAGGGAAATAAGTTCATATCCATGACATAGTTAATAGCACAGGAAATAACAAGACCAATATAATGGGGAGAAAATCGTCTCTATACAATAAGTAAATCCACTGGAATTGCTGATTATGAAAAAAAAAGGTTAACTTTTTTTAAAAATAATTTCTATCCTCTTCTTTAAAGAGGTTATGGAGGCCAAGTGTCAGTGAAGGGCTATGGATTTAAGAAATTAAATGTCTGGACGATTATTGTAGATAAGATTGCAGAACTTCCAGTCACTTCAGTGTTTCCACAGTACTGCTCAATATGCAAGGCATGAAGGAGTGCTAGCTGATCTCTCTGTGGGCTGTCATGGGATAATATAGGCAAGGACTGAAACTAGGGTAGGTGAGGAACTTCTACTGAAAACAGGCAATAAGGGATGACAGTCTGAAGAGCCCAGCTAAATGCTATTGCAGCACTGTTTCCTTGCAGTCACTCTTTCTTTCTTTCTTCTCCTTAACTTTTTTTCTATTTCATTCACACCTCAGTCTTGTCCCCATTTCCTCCCACTTACTTTCACCCCATTCATTATTTACTCTTTTCTCTTGCCCCACACAACCTTATCTGTCTTTCTTTAGGAATGTACTCATGCCCATCAAATAGTTTTGTGCTGCTGGAGGCACGTTGCAATGCAGCAATTCCTTCTGAGTGATTCTGCTGCTGTTGCATTGCACAGTGAGAGGGATTTAATCCCAGGCATGACACTTCAGGGACTCAGCAGATTGATGGAGGAGATTGTTCCCTAGGTATGCTACTAGATAGTATTCCTATCTAGATTTAATTTTACTTCCCATAAGTTTACTTTACCATGAAGTCCTAATTTAAAGAGTTGTTATGTAAAGACGGATTTAGATTCAAAGAATTGGACCATGTAGGTGACACTGTAGAAGAAAAGGGTAAAGTGAAACTTCAGCAAACAAAATATATTACTTAGTAGTATTTTTCTCCTTATACATGTTTGCTGAGGAAAGGTAGTTTGAGATGTAGAAGCAGAAA